GACTAGGGGAGACATGATAGCAGTCTTCCAACATCTCAGGGGCTGCCCCAAAGAAGAGGGAGTCAAGCTATTCTCCAAAGCACCTGAGGGCAGGACAAGAAGCAATGGGTGGAAACTAATCAAGGAGAGAAGCAACTTAGATTTCTCAGGAGAAATTTCCTGATAGTTAGAACAATTAATAAGTGGAATAGCTTGCCTCCAGAAGTTGTGAATGCTCTAACACTGGAAGTTTTTAAGAAGAGGTTGGACAACCATTTGTCTGAAGTGGTGTAGGGTTTCCTGCCTAAGCAGGAGGTTGGACTAGAAGACCTCCAAGGTCCCTTCCAACTCTTATTCTGACTTCATGCAAGTTTTTTTTGCACCAGGAGAGAATCAGCTGTAGGTTCACCAAGGCTCATAATATCTCTTGATGTGTCCTGGGGGTACACATCAACTGTGGTCTATCTGACACCACAAAAGAACTGGTGGTTTGACTTCAGGTTATGAAGAGCTTGTGGCTAGTTGCTTGGCTGAAACTCTTTGCTTCACCCCACCCCTCTTTCCTTCTTCTACCAACTTAGAAGTTCAACCCTTGAGGTTCAGCCAAATAACCAGATCAATGCAAATGAAAACAATCCTACGTTTGGCTTAACCTGCTTTTGAGGAATTCAGAGTAGACATTGTGGTAATTGGGGGTGTGCAATCAGCCTCACCTGCCTCATAAAGTCTTCTGAAAAGAACATGAAAGACAGAAACTGTGCCAATTATTATCATATAATAAAAGTTAACAACTTGTGGTTGGGTTCTACAATAGTCACGTCCCTCTAAGTAGACGAGATGTCCAGAGTTATTTGAGGACAGGTTTCCTTCTTTCACGTCTCATGGATATTCTCCTTTAAAGCCCGTAATTGGCCCAGACTAAGGAAATGGGACATGGTGGCTGAGTGGCTAAGACGCTGAGTTTGTCGATCAAAAGGTCGGCAGCTCAGCAGTTCGAATCCTGAGTGCCTCGTAACGGGGTGAGCTCCCGTTACTTGTCCCAGCTTCTGCCAACCTAGCAGTTCGAAAGCAGGTAGAAAAATAGGGACCACCTTTGGTGGGAAGGGAATGGCGCTCCGTGCGCCTTTGGCGTTGAGTCATGCCGGCCACATGACCATGGAGACATCTTCTGACAGCGCTGGCTCTTTGGCTTTGAAACGGAGATGAGCACCGCCCCCTAGAGTTGGCAAACTGTTGGCAATCACCAGCAGATGGTGAGTTCTAGTCCCCTCTTAGGCATGAAAGCCGACTGGGTGACTGTTGGCCAATCACCAGGAGATGGTGAGTTCTAGTTCCCCCTTAGGCATGAAAGCCAACTGGGTGACTGTTGGCCAATCACCAGGAGATGGTGAGTTGTAGTTCGCCTTAGGTATGAAAGCTGACTGGGTGACTGTTGGCCAATCACCAGGAGATGGTGAGTTGTAGTTCTGCCTTAGGTATGAAAGCCGACTCACCAGGAATTGGTGAGTTGTTCCGCCTTCGATATGAAAGCCAGCTGGATTTCACCAGGAGATGGTTGAATTGTAGTTCTGCCTTAGGCATGAAAGCTGACTGGGTGAACTTTGGGCTAATTACCAGGAGAAAGTGAGTTCTAGTCCCACTTTGGGCATGAAAGCTGGTTGGATGATTTTGGACCAGTCGCTCTCTCTCTCAGCCCAACTTGCTATAGAAATCAAAATAACAAGCAAACAAACATTCGTTCAAAATGAGGACAATTCCCCCATATGGTACAGACAGAATTTCTGCCTCTTTAGTAAATCCAGGATCATCTTCCCATTGTGTGTGCGTGTGTGAATTGTGAGCAAGTGACGGAGATCAAGATCCGAATCTAACTTAAATATAGTCAGCACCAAAGCCAAAAGGGATAACAAAAATCTGACATCTCCGATAAAATACATAAAATACGATAAAAAATTGTTGAAATGGTTTCATGACAATGCCACCAAATTCAGCTGTACGGAGACGTGAACGCAAATACTTTTGTCGAAAAATTCCTGTCGAAACAAGTCTGATTGTTACTTGACTCCCAAACATTTTCAGACTGGTTTCTCTTGGGAGGTAGCTTCAAAGTCCTCCCTTGCAGATACTACTTGTGTGCAAGATAAATCTGTAAGCCATGATTTGCACAACAATAACCCACCTCTTAAATAGTCTTCAAAATACGTTGCCAAATGTTTTAACATCAGGGGAATGTTGAATTAGAATAGAATAACAGAGTTGGAAGGGACCTTGGAGGCTTCTAGTCCAACCCCTTGCACAGACAGGAAACCTTCCACCAATTCAGACAAATAGTTGTCCAACATCTTCTTAAAAACATCCAGCGTTGGAGCATTCACAACTTCTGGAGGCAAGTTGTTCCACTGATTAATTGTTCTCACGGTCAGGAAATTTCTCCTTAGATCTAGGTTGCTTCTCTCCTTGATTAGTTTCCACCCATTGCTTCTTGTCCTGACCTCAGGTGCTTTGGAGAATAGCTTGACTCCCTCTTTTTTGGGGCAACCCCTGAGATATTGGTCAGGCTATCATGTCTCCCCAGTCCTTCTTTTCATTAAACTAGACATACCCAGTTCCTGCAACCGTTCTTCATATGTTTTAGCCTCCAGTCCTCTAATCATCTTTTGAATTGAAGAGTATAACTGTATGAACTCAACTGCATCAGCTCCAAAACTTTTCCATACTTTGGTGAAGCTGGGTTGGCATAGCTTCTGATACAAGGAGAAGATCTTGCATTCTCAGCAGGCTGGAAGAACTTACAAATAAGAGAGGCAAAATTGGTGGCCATATAAGAGAAAGTCTTGTGTTGACAGCAGACTTAAAAAGAACTTCATACGAAGAAGTGGGGCAAAGTTGGTGATCAATAGAATAGAATAGAATAGAATAAGAATAAGAATAAGAATAGAATAAAATAGAATAGTATAGAATAGAATAGAATAGAATAGAATAGAATAGAATAGAATAGAATAGAATTCTTTATTGGCCAAGGGTGTGATTGGACACACAAGGAATTTGTCTTTGTCTTGGTGCATATGCTCTCACTGTACATAAAAAGACAAGATACCTTTGTCAAGAATCATAAGGTACTTTAAAACCTGAACTGTTCCTATTGGGTATCTTACCAGAGAAATTTAGTACAGAAAATACATATTTGATTATACATGTTACAACTGCAGCGAGGATAGTATTTGTGCAAAGATGGAAAGCAAAGAAAATCCTTACAGAGGGGGAAGTAATTAAAAAAAATATTGGATTGTGCAGAAATGAATAGATTGACTTTGATAATTGAAGAAAGAGAGGAACAGGAATACTTTAAGATATGGGGGCAATTTTATCATTGGTTAGAGAAGATATATATATAGGGTAATGTAATGAAATGAGTGAAGAAGAAGAGGAGAAAGAAGATAGATAAATGTACTAATAGAAAAGCAAGAAATGTGGGAGAAATATTATAATAAATGAAATGATACTACTAAGATATGATAAACAGTGGAAGAGGAGGAAGAAGACACAAAAGATGCACTCAGATGATACACTGAATGATTGATTATGCATTGTATGCTTGCTTGTCTATAAAATAAAAAACTTTAAAAAAAGGATCTTAAGGTACAACACTTAATGATAGTCACAGGGTACAAATAACTAATCGAATCATACTAGGAAACAATCATTATATAAATCGTAAGGATACAGCAATAAGTTACAGATATACAGTCATAAGTGGGAGGAGATGGGTGATAAGAACGATGAGAAGATTAATAGTAATACAGTCTTAGTGAATAGTTTGACAGTGTTGAGGGAATTATTTGTTTAGCAGAGTGATGGCGTTCGGGGAAAAACTGTCCTTGTGTCTAGTTGTTCTGGTGTGCAGTGCTCTATAGCCTTGTTTTGAGGGTAGGAGTTGAAACAGTTTATGCCCAGGATGTGAGGTTAGGGTTAGGGTTAAAGGAAGAAGGTTTGCTCAGCACCTGGTTGAAATTGTGCATGGTCCTCAGGTCTCTAGCTCAGGCCTTCTCCTTGGAGACACTGAATCAAAGAGGTAGGAATTGGGTATGACAGAGAGGACAATTCATGATGTGGGATTGACCATTTTTTTTTTCAGTAGGGAGACGAGATGGACACCATGTTGGGCTGGGCTCAGTGGTGAAATCCAATTTTTTTTTACTACCGGTTTCTGTTGGCGTGGCTTGGTGGGTGTGGTGTGGCTTGGTGGGCATGGCAGGGGAAGGATACTGCAAAATCTCCATTCCCACCCCCTCCAGGGAAAGGATACTGCAAAATCCCCATTCCCTCAACACTCCTGGGGGAAGGATATTGGAAAATTCCCATTCCCACCCCACTCTGGGGCCAGCCAAAGGTGGTATTTGCCGGTTCTCCGAACTACTCAAAATTTCTGCTACCGGTTCTCCAGAACCTGTCAGAACCTGCTGGATTTCACCCCTGGCTGGGCTGGGCTGAAGCCCAGCCTTGGTGGGACCCATGCTAAAAAAAGGTTGAGTTGTCTAACTACAGTTCTGGCTACAGTTCTCCCCATTTCTCATATTCTCAATTCCTCCTCTCCCCATTTTCCTCTTTTGGATAGATTGCAGGAAGAGGAAAAGTCACGTCCGCAAAGGGTCTCAAAAGGTCTGTCGTTTTGGAAGCTCACCGAGAATGTCTTCAAATGTAGCAAATCCTATAGAAGGACCATCTTAGCTTTGCTTGAAAAAATGTTGCTGCTTTTAGTGTTGCTACGAAACGTCTGGCATTGTAAACAATAATACGAGATTTTTGAATGGCTCATCTGAATAATTCATGGAATAATTATTACTTTAAAAAAAAGAATTTCTGATGCTGGTTTTCAAAATCACCATTCATGGTCCTGGAAGAAAGAACCAGGAAGTCAAAATGTTGATTCCCCGTGGGAAAAAAAAATTGGCTAAAGAATTGAATGTTGGTTAAATGTCACTTTTTTTTTGAATACCCCAAGAAAGTAATCCTTCCTCTGAAATCCTGAAAATTTGACGTCTGTTTTTGTGTTTGTGTGTGTGTTTTTAGGTTATGATGATGCAGCAGAAACTAACCTGATCTCCCGCCCCATCCACTCAGCCAAGCTGTTGCAAGAAAACCATCCGAGAACTATTCGCAGAAAAAGAAGCGTTGGTAAGAATTTTGTTTTTTTTAAAAAATGCACCAAGGTGTGTGGGGGAATAATCTTTGGAAGGACTTGGTGGGTGTAGAAATTAATTTTTTTTTAAAAAAAAAAAGCGCGAGAGAGGAAAGATATTTTGCAAAACAAATAGAAAAGAGAAGTGCACGCGATTGTTTTTATTTTTATTTTTCTTCAGTAGCTCGGTCACCTTCCAAGGGTTATAATATGCTGAAAAAATGCCTGACATTCAATTTTCATGTTCCTGCACGCTCCGGGTGAAATCCGAGTGAGGGAATGTGGTGCTGGTAGTTCTTTTATAGTTCACGGATTTGCAACTAACTGAGGTTCTTCAAAAAAACTGAATGAAATAACAAGACTTCCCCTCTTGCGAGAGAGATTGCTTGTTGACCCTTTGTGTGACTCGTGGCTCACTTTCCCTTCCGCTGTGAAAAGGCAGATTTTCTGCTTCTCTGGGTTCTCTGTCGGATCTCAGTTCTCTCCCAGGACAGACTGTGGTTCCATAATTCATTTCATTCCTTGGGGAGTCTACCTGTTGTACGTCTGCCTGGATTTCACGCTTGCCTTCTTTTCAAGCGGGATGTTGAGATTGGGTTGAGGACATAGGTAGTTCTCGATTTACGGCTGCAATTCAATCAGAATTTCTGTTGTTAAATAAGGCAGTTGGCTAAGTGTGTCACATCCCATAATACAACATTATGAGGAGGAAGAGGATAGGTAAAGATAAAGGTTCCCCTGCACATGTGTGCTAGTCGTTCCCGACTCTAGGGGGCGCTGCTCATCTCCGTTTCAAAGCCGAAGAGCCAGCGCTGTCCGAAGATGTCTCCGTGGTCACGTGGCTGGCATGACTCAATGCCAAAGGCGCATAGAACGCTGTTACCTTCCCACCAAAGGTGGTCCCTATTTTTCTACTTGCATTTTTTACCTGCTTTCGAACTGCTAGGTTGGCAGAAGCTGGGACAAGGAACGGGAGCTCACTAGGGATTCGAACCGCTGAACTGCCAACCTTTTGATCGACAAGCTATTGATCCACTGATCTAGTTTAATGAGAAGGAGGACTAGGGGTGATGCAATAGCAGTGTTCCAATATTTGAAGGGTTGCCACAAAGAGTAGGTCAACCTATTCTCCAAAGCACCTGAAGACAGGACAATGGATGGAAACTAATCAAGGAGAGAAGCAACCTAGAACTAAGGAGAGATTTCCTGATAGTGAGAACAATTAATCTGTGGGACGACTTGCCTCCAGAAGTTATGGGTGATCCAACACTGGAGGTTTTAAAGAAGAGATTGGACAACCATTTGCCAGAAATGGTATAGGGTTTCCTATCTGAGCATTGGGTTGGACTAGAAGACCTCCAAGGTCCCTTCCAACTCTGTTAATCTGTTAGATGATTAGGAAGAGGAAGAGGAGGAAAAGGAATAGCCTTTATACACCTCCTTTCTTCTGTAAAACACCAGACATCCATTTGATTGTCCCCTAGATGTGTCTTCAAAAGAATCCTGTGGGATGAATTGGGCTGAGAAACAGCATCTTTGGGGATCAATTGGAAACTTGAATTTGGTTCTTTCCAGGCCCAAGACCAACATCTTCCATGATTCTTTCCAATTTTAGGAACTGGTTCAGCCACCTATTTAAGTCAAATACATTCGCTGCCAAAATATACAGGAATCACTATGATGAGGATCCCATCTCAAGGAATGACTGGCCACCAGAGTGGAAAAAATAGTAGTAACAGAGAAGTCACAGAGTAGTAAAGTCAAATATAGTTGGCTGCAATAAGAAGGGAAATTACTATAAATATATATATTTCCAGACTTTTCGCTGCTTGCTCATACAAATTGGGATATTGTTCCCACCCTATTTTGGGAAGCAGCTTAAAAACTATGAAGGGATGGAACGAGACAGAAGTTTCCTGAATCGAATGTAAGAGAAGAACAGGAGAGCTGGAGGGCAGAGTGAAAGGAGTCATCAGCCTAGCATCCTTGCATTGCCACAAACGATCCCATTCCAACCCCTCCTGAATTCAGTTGACTTTTATCTGCTGCCAATTTAGCGTCGAACTGTAGTTGACAAGATTCTTGTCTATAGGTACGAGCAATAAATATTGTGAGGTGCAACTTAATATAGGATCTCTGATTCTTTGCACCTGATTTAAATCGATAAAATAGGAACATGGGCATCCGGTATCAAATAGCTATCCGATTCCCCTGAATTTTCCCTGCCTGTCTTCAAGAACTCTGGTCAATTTTTTGCAAATGAACCCAGAGGTGGCCAAATGCTCTGTTACGAGTTGTAGTGGTGCCGTGGTTAGAATGCAGTACTGTAGGCTACTTCTGCTGACTGCTGGCTGTCAGCAGTTTGGCAGTTCGGTTCCTACCGGCTCAAAGTTGACTCAGCCTTCCATCCAGGGGTGAAATGCTCCTGGATCGGACCGGATCGGCCGATCCGGTAGCGATTTTTCCCTGTGGTTTGGCGATCTGGTAGCGATCGCCGCCTGGGTGTCATTACTTCCTGGTTTTAACCAGGAAGTAATGTTTTTTTACCTTCTGTGCATGTGAGCGCGCAGGGAGTGTGCACTTCCAAACCGGTAAGGAAGGTAAGTAGATTTCACCCCTGCTTCCATCCTTCCGAGGTCACTAAAATGAGGACCCAGATTGTTGGGGGGCAAGAGGCTGACTCTGTAAACTGCTTTGAGAGGACTGTAAAAGCACTGTGAAGTGGTATATAACAGTGGGGAATTCAAAATTTTTTACTACCAGTTCTGTGGGTGTAGCTTGGTGGGCGGGGCATGGCTTGGTGGGTGTGGCAGGAAAGGATACCCATTCGCTCCGGATCAGCTGGGACTCGGGAGGCAGAGAATATGGGGGCGGGGCCAGTCAGAGGTGGTATTTGCTGGTTCTCCAAACTACTCAAAATTTCCATTACCGCTTCTCCAGAACTGGTCAGAACCTGCTGAATACCACCTCTGCAGTGGTGGGTTGCCCCTGGTTCGGACCAGTTCACAAGAACCGGTAGTAAAACCAGTGGGAGGCTCCGCCCACCGCCCCGGATGTCATCATAGGCGATCTGCGCATGCGCAGAAGCTTCTGAGTATATGCAGAAGCTCACTGCATGCACAATCCCATTGCGAACCGGTAGTAAAGGTAAGTAGAGCTCACCCCTGCACCTCTGGTATATAAATCTAAGTGCTATTGCTATTCTTGAGTCCCAACTCCACATCACGCTTCTCGTTTCACCTTTCTACAGAGGAAGCCATTCCTGCAGTCTGCAAGACGCGGACGGTGATCTACGAGATCCCTCGGAGTCAAATTGATCCGACTTCTGCCAACTTTCTGATATGGCCTCCCTGCGTGGAAGTGAAGCGGTGCACCGGATGTTGCAACACCAGCAGTGTGAAATGCCAACCCTCGCGGATACACCACAGAAATGTCAAGGTGAGGGGAAGCAGAATGCTGTCCTAGCGGAGCTGGGTATCTCACGTCTGTCCTTGCTCGCCTTTGAAATAATATCCAGAATAGCAACCGTTCACATTTGCTGTTGGGAAACTCCCAGCTAGGTAAGAAGGAGGAGTCAAGAAGGGAACTAGCTTTGAATCCTTGCACAGCTGCAAGAGTCATAAACGTGAACATCCCCTCCAAGTTCCATGAAACCTTACCTTGTTGTTCCCAGAGAAGGCAAGTGTCATGGGCGGCATGCAAGACAATTAACTAACTAACTAACTAACTAACTAACTAACTAACTAACTAACTAACTAATTAAACAGGTCCTCCAAAACTCCATGGGGCAAATTAGAAAAAAAATGTCACTCCATCGAATCCCAGTGAAACGCAGGTTTTTAATTCACAAATGCAATTGTTCCATCTAACGTGCTTGTTGTTGTTATTTGCGAAGTCGTGTCCGACACATCGTGACCCCATGGACAACATTCCTCCAGGCCTTCCTATCCTCTTACCATCCTCTGGAGCCAAATTTAAGCTCACACCGACTGCTTCAGTGACTCCATCTAGCCACCTCCTTCTCTGCCGTCCCCTTCTTCTTTTGCCCTCCATCGTTCCCAGCATTAGGCTCTTCTCCAGGGAGTCCTTCCTTCTCCTTAGGTGGCCAAAGGATTTGAGTTTCCTCTTCAGGATCTGGCCTTCTAAAGAGCAGTCAGGGTTGATCTCCTCTCGGACTGACTGGATGGATCGCCTTGCAGTCCAAGGGATTCGCAGGAGTCTTCTCCAGCACCAGAGTTCAAAGGCCTCAATTCTTTGGCGCTCAACCTTCCTTATGGTCCAACTTTCTCAGCCATCCATTGCAACTGGGAAAACCATCGTCTTGACTTAAACGCGCTTTCGTTGGCAGGGTGATGTCTCTGTTTTTTAGTAAACTGCCTAGATTTGCCATAGCTTTCCTCCCCAGGAGCAAGCGACTTTTAATTTCTTGGCTGCAGTCCCCATCTGCGTGCTAAAAATATATCTCCATCTAACGTGCTAATAGATAGATAGATAGATAGATAGATAGATAGATAGATAGATAGATAGATAAAATATATATTTTGCTGATAAAGAAATAAAGGGAGACTAGTATAGATCTATTTCAAGCTTTTTAGCTCTCATCAGCCAGCCATACCCTTACTTGGATTCAAACTTGGGCTGCCTGCATGTTAGGCAGTTGTATTAACCACTGAGCCACAAGTTCTCCTCCCTTCATCCCATATCAGCTATATATAGCAACTTTTGCCTGGGGCATGGGGCATACTGCCATCTTTGGGGAGTTACCCCCTCGCCCTGATTTCTGGATGCCACGGCTTCATAATCCGTGTGCTTTCTCTTTTTCTGCGCTAGCCCTTTCCGATCTCTGAATGCAAGCAGAAGCCCAGACAGGAAACACCTTAAACATACAACCTGGGAGCGAGATAAGGTAGCTATTGTGTGCTCAAGTGGCCAGTCCTGACTTCCTTGAGGTCAACCGCATTTTGAATTCTTTTCGAGAAATCTTTCCTTTCCTTTCTTGGCGGTTTCTTTTTGTAGGGAACCAGCTGCCACTGTCATTTTTTTCCTGGGTGGAATTCAAATATAAGTGTTTGGACGGCAGACTGAAGAATGTTCAACGCCTTCTGATACTTGTTTCTGGGAATCAGTGAAGAATTAGGTTGTGCAGATTAATTGTGCCTGCGTTTGTGTGTGTGTGTGTTATGTGTTTAAGGTGGTGTTTTGCACCTCCTGGAATTAAGTTATAACCCTGGATGCGTAGGAAGGTTAAACAGCAGGAGCACACCTGATTAAGTCCTTCTTACAGACTCCCACAGCCTTGCTGTGAAATGATAACATGACTCAGGGAGATCTTGAATGTTTTTTTTAAAAAATAAAATCCCTGCTTAGCCAGCTTTCCTTAATTAAATATTATCTTGGCTAAATTGGGCTTTGGATTGGGGAAGCATTGGAGCGGGGTGAGGATCGGGGTAAACGCGCCGGATATGGGTTTCAGAAAATTGATGGCATCGCTCCGAGTGAGGCTAAACCTTCTTGGAGAAAAGGATTTTGATCTGTGATCATGGGGAAATGCTACAACGGTCGTAAGTGCAAGGACTAGTTGTAAGTCACGTCTCTCGGTGCTGTTGTAACTTTGAACCATCGCAAAATGAATGGCTGTAAGTCGAAAATGACTGTATGTACAGGCTAAGACGTCCCTGGGAGGCAGGGGTGAAATCCAGCAGGTTCTGAGAGGTTCTGGAGAACCGGTAGCGGAAATTTTGAGCAGTTTGGACAACCGGCAAATATCACCTCTGGCTGGCCCCAGAGTGGGGTGGGAATGGAGATTTTGCAGTATCCTTCTCCTGGAGTGGGGTGGGAATGGGGATTTTGCAGTATTCTTCCCCTGTTACGCCCACCAAGCCACCCCTCACAGAACTGGTAGTAAAAAAAAATTGGATTTCACCACTGCTGGGAGGTTATAATACTGCTTTTCATAAAGTTTCTTGATAGATTATACAGGTAGTTCTCGATTTACAACCGCAATTGAGCCTGAAATTTCCGTTGCTAAGCGAGCCCCATTTTACGCCTTTTCTTGCTATCGTTCTTAATAGAATAGAATAGAATAGAATTCTTTATTGGCCAAGCGCGATTGGACACACAAGGAATTTGTCTTTGGTGCAGATGCTCTCAGTGTCCATAAAAGGGCGTGGCAGGAGAAGGATACTGTAAAATCTCCATTCCTTTTCCACTCCAGGGGAAGGTTACTGCAAAATCCCCATTTCCTCCCGATCAGTTGGGACTCGGGAGGCAGAGAATAGATGGGGGCGGGGCCAGTCAGAATTTTTACTACTGGTTCTCCGAACTACTCAAAATTTCCGCTACCGATTCTCCAGAACTGGTCAGAACCTGCTGAAACCCACCTCTGATCCAATGGAATTTAGATGTTTTTCCTCCCCACCCCCACCCCCCTTTGAACAGCAGACTTCTCTTGACGCTGTAGCAATGGTAGGACATTTTTGGAGAGCCTTTGCTGTACGGTTGCAAATAGCTCTTTAGAAAATAGCTTGGGGGGGTTGAGTGCATGTTTTGCAGGCAAAAGATTCCACGGTCCATCCTGAGGTCTTCAGATGGGGCTGGGAGATGTGTCTGAAGCCCTCAAGAATGTCTCCTATTTATGGTTGATCACGCTGGACCAGATAAACGTAGAAGTTGCTTGCTATAAAACATCTTCTCCAGGGGTGGCCTTCAAAAATTTTAGCAACGGGTTCTCTGCCCGGTTGCTGGGTGGGCGTGGCCATGGTGGGCGTGGCCATGGTGGGTGTGGCCTAGTCGGCCTCCTGCACCACAGCAGGGGCTGTTTTCACCTTCCCCTGGCCTCCGGAGGTCCTCTGAAATCCAAAAATGGGCCCATTTCCGGCCTTCCGGAACTTCTGGGAGGCCCATTTTTCGCCCTCCCTGAGCCTCCGCGCGGGCCCTGCACTTATCTGGCATCCAAAACGGGCTGCGTGGAGTCTCCTGGGAGGGGTGGGCAGGGCCAGCCAGGAGTGGGATTTGGGGGTTCGCCGAACCACGCAGAATCTTCGCTAGAGGAGGCGAACCTGGAGCAGCCCACCCCTAACCTTCTCGTATTCTTCGCTTGTCTGTCTCTCGTCTGGTGGATCCCTGATTTTTGTTCATAATAAGAGGGGAAATGGGATTTTCTAAGAAAAGACTCCTTGGATGTCCTTCTCGGTGCTATGTTTTTGGAAGCAAACGTCTGAGAATCCATCCCAGTTTACTCTTAAGTCATGCCTGGAAAAAAATAACAATAGCCTGCTGCAAAGGTCTTGAGAAAAATCCTCCCTTGGCTTAATGTTAATTAAAAAACGAGGAGTTAAATGAGAGTGGTGTGTTTTTTGTCAGAGTTGTGACCTTTCTGTCACACCAATGGCTTCCAAAAGAAAATCCATGTTTCTTTCTTGGGTGACTTAAACGCTCTTTCTCTCTCTCTCGTCTTTGATATAATTAATTGTTTCACATGCTCTTTGGAATTCCAGTGTTTGGGGGTGGGGGGGTGGGGGGATGAATGGGGTCTGTGTCCCATAATCCTGAAGATTCTCTTTTGGGGTCATGCAGAGAGTGGTCAAGATTTCTGTTCCGCTTCTTCCCAGAAGGGAGTGAAAAGCTGGCCTTGTTCTATTTCCCACCGTGTCAAGTTTACGTTCAAACCCTTCTACTTATTTAATTTTCTATCCGGAAGCAGAAGGCCTTCGGTTTCGTAGTTTGGTTTTTTTATTGACAAGATGGGGGAGACAATTGGTCGTTCCTCAGTGGACTTCCAGTGAGTTAGGAAAGCCTTTAAGTTGAGAAGAAAAGCTGCTAGGCCAAAGGAAGAGATGGAAAACAAATGTTTATAACACCTTTAGTCCATCAGATGATGGAGGAGGAGGAGGGAAGGGGAAGGAGAAGGAGGAGAAGAAGAGGAGGAGGAGGGAGGAGGAGGAGGAAGGAGAAGATGGAGAAGAAGGAGAAGGAGAAGAAGGAGAGGAAGAAGAGAAGGAAGGAGGGAGGAGGAGGGTGAAGGAGAAGGAAGGAGAAGATGAAGGAGAAGGAAAAGAAGAAGGAGAGGAAGAAGAGGAGGAAAGAGGGAGGAGGAGGAGGGAGGAGAAGGAAGGAGAAGATGAAGGAGAAGGAGAAGAAGAAGGAGAGGAAGAAGAGGAGGAAAGAGGGAGGAGGAGGAGGGAGGAGAAGGAAGGAGAAGACGGAGAAGAAGAAGGAGAAGGAGAGGAAGAAGAGGAGGAAGGAGGGAGGAGAAGGAGGGAGGAGAGAAGGAAGGAGGAGGAGGAGGAAGGAGAAGACGGAGAAGGAGGAGGAGGAGAGGAAGAGGAAGAAGGAGAGGAGGAGGAAGACAAAAGAGGGAGGAAGAGGAAGAAGAGGAATAGGAAGGGAAAGAGGAAGAACATTCTTTTTCCCCTTCTTCTTTTTCTCTCTGGGACCAG